CTCGGGAGGGCTTTTGACCTGTGTTTTTTTCCTCCTTGGCTAATGATCTTGTCCTCGGGGTTAGCCAAAAATTTTGCAAGGAAAAAATCTGACGCTGTGGTCAAATTGTCCAAGGGGATTTCCAGATTCTCCCCCTCCTCTCCATTTTGTTTGACGGACAGGGTTTGTCTTGCATACAGTTTCTTAAGCTTATCTGCCCAAAAAGGAGGGGGGGTCTGGGTGAGACTGTTAGCTTCATTCCCGTTCGGTAGGTTCTTCATCTCCTTTAGCAATTCAGTCGGGGAGGGGGGTGCCGGGGGGGAGTTGGGAGGAGAAGGCTTCTTCCATGGTGGTCGCCTTTATCATCTCCTTCCCACCCCGCGTGACCCCGGGGTCTCCAGTCTGACAAGTGGTGGCCCATAGCCCCCTGGTACCAAATCGGGGGTGACCTGTAGGCTTTTCCTATCCCTTTCCTTTTCCTTGCCTCGTTCTTCGAGCTTGCCATGGGGGTTTTGTTATGTGGATTTGTATGAAATTAGCAATGGTGTTAGTGATGGTGTAGGCCAATGGGGCGGGTCCGTAGAGAGGGATCGGGCGAGAGGAGGGGGTGGCGGAAATCTGGATCGGAAGCACTTAGTCTCTTTTATTTAAAAAAAATGAGTGGGGACAGGTTCGGGGATCGGGCGTGGGGGATGTGTCTAAGGAGATTGGGATCAGGGCGGTCGGGATCGGGTGCGAGGCGGGGAGGTGTTTCCGTTATGGTCAGGATCAAGCCGAGGGGGGAGCGAAGGATGGCAAAGTCGGATTCGGGAGGGGGCAGGGGTCGGGGGTCAGGATTGGGATTGGGGGAGAAGTTACTAGGGGGAGACGGGATCGGATGTGTGGGGTAGATCTGTAGAGGAGCGGGTCGGGATCGGGATCAAGTGCGGGGTGGAGAGGGGTGAGGATCAACCGTGAGAGATCGGGAGCGGAGTGATCTGGAACGGGTGCGGGGTGACCGTGAGCAGTTGGGATCGGGGGGGACTGGGTGTGCGGGGTGGGTCTACAGAGAATGGGATCCGGGCTCGGGAGGGAGTGATCGGGAGCGGGGTGATCGGGATCGGGTACAGGCTACAACAGGCACAACAAGCCATCGAGGAACAGATCAGGACAAGGACCTGGGAAGCATGGAAGTCGATGAAACGGGACCTGCTAGAGGAGAAAAACCCCCTCGCTAGGCAAGCAATTCGAGATTCCTACGCGCAGATTTGGCAAGATTCCAACAGAATATTCTCTGAACTGGACTCCTCATCCAACAACACATGGAAACCATGGAGAGTCATGGAACCGAGATGGCAAAGAAGACCCTTTTCGGACTTTCAAGTCCCATACCTCCAGCCCAACTTTGTCCTTCTCCCGTCTCCTGTGCCACCCGCCTCACTGCCATCGCAGCCACCCCGTCACACTGCTTAGGCCCGACATAAATCCACCCTGCTCCCTCTTTCCTCCCTCCCCCACCTACACTCTCCCCTCCATCCCTACCCTTCCAACTGCACGCTGCGCACAATGGGAATGAGACGTCTCGCCGGATAAGGTGCAGCATCAACCAAGGAAGAATGGTAGCCGACAGACATAAGGACAATGATCAGGTCAAGCAAGAGTGACACGAGCTCTCCCGAAGGAAGGACAGGAATTGGCCCAGCGATAAGGGCCACAGTTTGGAAGCCCTAAGGGTTTTGGGGTTTAAATGCAGCAGCCATGGATACTGATAGAACTTCAAGTGGAAGCTACATCAACACGGCCGCGACCGGTGACCAGGTCCGAGACAAGAAGGTATTGTAGATGTATCATTGTTCGATAGCAAACACTTGACACCTCCGAGAATGGGGCAACATCACCTCTGGCAAAAGAAGCAGGAGAAGGGCTAGGCTAGCAGCCTAGTGGAAAGTTCGATGGTCTCTCTAGTATCTCGAATAACTATGGCTTCGACTCAA